AAAATCTTTTTTTTAAAAAAAAAAAAATTATACTTTATCCATTATCCATAAAAAATTCCTTTTTTCCAATTAATTTCAAAACATTGTAGCTTTTCTCCACCTTTTCCCTTTCTTTCTTTTCCCAACAAACCTTTCTACCCCCCCTTCTTCTAGCCTCTGCCTTACCGGCTTCCCTTCTCTGTCGTATTTCTTTTCCCCTTTGTTTACAATCATCATATTGGTTTTGCACTTTATTTTTCCCTTTCTTAAATGTTTTTTTGGATCTTAAGTCCTTAAATCCTTTAGTTTTCTTCTTTTCTCTTCTCTTTTTTTCTTTCTCTCTTCCTTTTTTCTGGATCAAATTCTGAGATTCATTAAAGATGGCTCCTTCCTTTCTTTCTTGTTCCTCTGCTGTCTTCATCTGTTGTAATTTTTGTTGATAATTAGTAAGCGCCATTTCTAAGAAAAGGAAAGCTTCTTCCACACCATCTTTACCATTTTTTTTGCTTGTTCATATTCTTTTCTTAGTTCCTCAACAGAAAGAGCCATTATAAATCTTTTCTTTTCTTTTCTCCTTCTTTCTTCTTACAACAACCAGAATATTCAAAAGAAAATAAAAAAGATAAAACAGTCCCAAAGTTATCAATCAGTCCAAACCAAGGCAGAGTTCTCACTTTCTCCTTCTGGGGTAATATCAATCAAAGAGAAAGAAAGTCCAAATCTGTTTAAAATCTTATTACAATATATTCTAGTCTTCAAATCCTTAAGGCATCTGCTCCAACAAATCTTAGCATACAAATATTTTCTTCTTAATCCTCTCTCTTCCCACTCATCGCTTAAAACCAATTTCCACCTAAAAAAATAGGTTTCTTAATATCCAGTTATTTATTCCGTAGGAAAAGAGGGAAAGCTATCCTTTCAGCACCTTCAAGCAGCCGCTTTTTTCCTCTTCTGGCAGGTATTATTCAGAGAATCATACTTTTCAGGAATTTTATTAAATATGTCTTAGAGTCCTAGGAGCCAAGAAAAACTTTCTCCTCTCAATCACTTTCTCCACTTCCTCCTGCGCATTCTTACCCGGCTGCCAGCTTCTTTGTGGCGGCCATTACGGACCGCCGCTGCACCGTCCTGGGAAAAGGGAGTTCTGCCGGCCAGGGAGGGAGTCTGCAGCACCCCCAAACCCTTCTCCGGATCCCCCCTACTTCAGCTGCCCCTGCAGGGCAGCCTAGCTCCGTACCCGGCTGGGTCGGAGCCCCAAAAACGGCTAGCGCAGCAGGGATCGCGCAGCTTCGCAAATCCCTGCCGCTCGCGAAGCCGACAAACCGGAAGAGCGTGTGACTTACTTTTGATACAATCAACGTGGTTGTCAATGTAGAGATCCTTCTCTCCATTGTCTAGACATCTTTTGAGATGTTCACGGAGTTCACGGGAGTGGATTCTCTGCTGTATGGATAAGTCTGGTCTTGAGTGAAGTTTTTTGTGGTTGGGATTGGTTTTTGCAATGGCGTTTATTGTATGAATGAATATGTGTTTGCTGGACTCATTTTTGCAAACAACTCTACAAAATTTTGGGGCCACCGAGCCATCATTGTATTTGAACTCAGGGCCATCTCTGGTTATTTCAATGATATCTTCAGGAGAGATGTTTGTTGTATTTGAGTTGCTTATGATATTACGAACTTTGGTGTCTTCAAGACCAAATAAGATGGCATTTGGATGTTTCTGATCATATTCTATGGTGTCTCTGATGAGTAAGGAGATATCATTTGTGGAATTATTTAATGGGGTAGTAATTATTTGTGGTTGTAGTTTGGTGGCTATTTTTTATTGTAGTTGTGATTGTAGTTGGGGTAGTAGTTGTGGTAGTGGTTGTTGGGTTGGGATTTGATTTTGAGCTGATAGGTAGTTGCTTATCACTGCTGTATATGTTTTTTCAAGAGAAATTAGGCTTTCTTGTATAATTGTTTCAAAACATGTTGCTAAGCATTTTTCTATTGAGTGCATGAGTGATTCTATGCTATCAACTCTGTCAGGCAGGATGCTTGGTTTGTTTAGCTTAGGAAAATATGATGGACATAGACAAGGGAAAGTATTTGATGCTTTTACGAGATCAGCTATGTCTTTTTTTAAGCTTAAGCTGGCAAGGTGGGCTTGATTGTCACAGGTAGCATTTGATGTTATTTTCGCTTTCATTGATGATTTTAAGACATCTGAAGCATGTACAGGAGTCTGGGAGGTGATTGGTAGAGATATTATTTTGTTGTTGTTGTTTGGTAGTGGAGGATTTAGAGTTTCTGGAGTTTCTGGCTGGCATGGTCAATGACAATAGTACACTAAACAATTACAATAGCTAATTAATGTGATAGGTAGACAGTTATTTAATGAATGTTGGTAATTAATAAATGTTAATTGATAAGTTAGAGAACAAATCAAAAGTAAGCTTACTTATTACTAAAAATCAATCAATCAACTTATTACTAAGAATCAATCAATCAATCAATCAATAGAGTAGATAATCAATAATACAGTATTAATTCTCTATCAGTTCAATGAATCAGTAAATTAGTGGTCATTTAACAATTAATTATTATACTATTATATGATAAATCAATTATTATAGATAAAGCATTATCTATAAATATTTGGTCTTGAGGTATTGAAATAGTGGAGGTAGTAAAGTATTGGAGGTTTGTTGTGTAAAGTTCCTTTGTTTTTCCTTAAAGCCCCATTTTTGTTTTGTTTTGCTTTGTTTTTGTTTTAAAGAGGAAGTGTTGCTGTTTGATAGATTTGAAATGATAGCAGTCTTCCAATATCTGAAGGGCTGCCACAGAGAGGAGGGGGTCAAGCTATTTTCTAAAGCACCGGAAGGCCAGACAAGGAATAATGGATGGAAACTGATCAAGGAGAGATTCAACCTAGAATAAAGATAAATTTTCTGACAGTGAGAACAATCAACAGAACAGAAGTTGCTTTCGGAAGTTGTGGGAGCTTCATCACTGGAGGCTTTCAAGAAGAAACTGGACTGCCATCTGTCAGAAATGGTGTAGGGTCTCCTGCTTGGGTGATAGACTTGGACTAGATGACCTACAAGGTCCCTTCCAACTCTGTTAATCTAATCTTAATCTTATCAAGTTAAGAGAGCTTGCTTGCCTTGTCACAGATGTTCACCAAAATATCATCAGAAGAGACAACTATGTAATTACATTTAAGGATTGCAAAAAGGGAAAACCAATGTAATGAAAATTATGTGAAGAGAAGGGGGAACAAGAGGTCAGATTTAGCAGGAACAAACAAACAATGGGGATGAACTAACATAATTCAATCAGACTTCCACTGGATCTTGCATTAATAATAACAAACATAACATCCCACACCTAATTATCATCAATTAGAATGATAAAAAATGTCTGGATAATGGATGTTGCAGTACCTGAAGATACAAGAAAAGGAGAGAAAGCTGGATAAAATCATAATGCCTTCAATGCTATCAAACAATAATATCTGCCTTTTTCCACTTTTTGGGAAGATTTCAATAAGTTCCACAATTGAATTGCATGTCATAGCATATACTTTTTTGGTCTTTACATCTGATGCCTATTACAATTAATACGTTTCTGTTGTCATTGTTGCTTCACTGAACATTTGAGCCATGGTGGCAGAATGATTAGAACACAGTACTACAGGCTACATTTTCTGTCTGCTGCCTGCTGGCTGCCTGCAATTTGGCAGATCAAATCTCAGCAGGCTCAAAGTTGACCCATCCTTCCATCCTTTCAAAGTTGGTAAAATGAGGACCCAGAATGTTGGAGGCGCAATATGCTGACTCTGTAAACCGTTTAAAGAAGGTTGTAAAGCACTGTAAAGTGGTATATAAGTCTAAGTGCTATTACTATTCCACTTGCATCAATCCCTCTACATTTCACTTATCCCTCAATTATGTTTCCAGAGCCGTTTTGAAGTTGTATCAGCATTCCCTGAGTTTGGCATTTGCAGTGAAACAGATTAACTCAAACCCAAAACTCTTGTCTAATGTTACTCTGGGATTTTTCATCTGTGATAATTATTTTGATGCCCGGCTGACTTACCGTTCCACTTTGGAGCTGCTATTCCGATCCAATCAGTTGGTTGTCAACTACAGGTGTGGTGTCAAAGAGAATCTCATTGTGGCCATCATTGGTGGATTTGGTGCTGATATCTCATTCTTCATGTCAAATATCATCAGTCTTTACAAAATCCCTCAGGTAAGATGTAAGGTATTGACATGTATGTCTCACCCCTAGTGCAAAATCGAAGGGAATGGGAAATGATAATTTACCAAGTAGGGGTTGGCTTGTCCTTCAGTGGTGCATCAATAGGACCTAATGAAGTTGGGGAATTGGAATTTAGCCATATCTAATGCACCACATTGAAAATAGTTTGTTTAAAATGGTGTCTGAAAAAGCAAGCAGAAGCTGGAGATTTTTAGGTGTTCATTTAGTATAAGCTCAGGAGTGGGACTCAATCGATTTGGCCTGGTTTGGGTAAACCAGTACCTTTGAAGATAAACTGGAGTAAACCAGTTTGCTCCAACGATCAGCTGTTGGGCCCACCCACCACCCTGGCTCTAGTCTGTGCTTTATTTCTGGATTTTCCAGCTCAGCTGCTTTGTGCGCCACAGTGGATTGCTGCGCACCAGCTGTTTTACACACAGGACTTGCAGTAGAAGGTGAGTTGCAAATGCTGCGTGAAACACACACTTACCAAATAGGTTGTTACACCGGTTAAATCCCACCCATGTATAAATTCATCCTCAAGTGATGGGAATGAAGGGGTAACTTTGCCCATTACCATCTCTTTGCCAAACATATGGATTGCTTACAGTGCTGCTCCTATCCTCTTGAGGCCCTGATGAAAAGAATTGAAGAAATATATAAGGCATACATTCCAATCATAACAAATCAACTGCCATTTTATTGCAGCTTGCCTATGGCTCATTTGCTCCCAAGAAGCATGGAACAAAGATGGCTGCTTCCTTTTATCACATGGCTCCCAATGAAATTCTTCAGACTTTGGGAATTATCCATTTGTTGAAGCATTTTGGATGGACCTGGGTTGGCCTTTTAATTCTGAATGATGACAGTGGAGACAACTTCATTGAAGCTCTGGACCCACTTCTCTCTGAGAACAAGATCTGCTCTGCTTTTATGGAGAGAATTCCCAAACAAGCATTTTTTTCTATGTTTCATGGTTCTGTGGTGGGTAGGATAAATGTTTATTTGAGGGAAACTAAAATCAATACATTTGTCTTCTATGGCGAAAGCTTCACAGCAATGCTTATGTTTCTCTTCCTCAAATATACATACATGATCCTTGGAAAAGTCTGGATTCTGACAGCTCAAATGGATTTAACATTAACTAGTCTGCATCAACCTTCTGATTTGCAATTGTTCGATGGAGCTATTTCCTTTGGTATTCACTCCAATGAAGTTCCAGGCTTTGACAAATTTCTTTGGGCCCTCAAACCATTCCAGACCCAACGAGATAGTTTATTGAAAGAGTTCTGGGAGCAAGGCTTTGATTGTGTCTTTTCAGAGAATAATAAACCAGTGGAAGGAGATGAAGCATGTACTGGGAGGGAAGATTTAAAAAATCTTCCTAGACATTTATTTGAAATGACTGGTCACAGTTACAGTATCTACAATGCAGTCTATGCTGTAGCGCATGCTGTTCATGAGATGAATGCACTTAAGTCTAAACACAAAAGAGTAACAAAAATTAGAAGGGGTGAACTTCAAAATCAAAGCACCTGGAAGGTAATAACTTATGAATCAAAACCTTTATTGGCAGAAGTAGATTAGTATCATATAAAAGCATACTGAGCTTCTTACTCTTTTCAAAGGAGACAGTGGTGGAAATGGACTTATTCACTTCTGCAAAGAGGTTGGTGTTGAATGTTGATACCAGGGGTGGGATTCTACCTGTTCGGTCTGGTTCTATAGAACTGGCTGTTATGATTCTGTGCAGTTCGGAGAACTGGCAAATCGCTCCACTGGCTGGCCCCACTCCACCCATTCACTTCTTACCTGGCATACATGCCATCTAACTTGCCTGCCTTTGGTAAGTTGCTATTTTTCTTTTTTCTTTTTGTCTGACCATCAGCTATTCTGCTGTGCCAGAAGATTTAGATCAGCTAGAACACAGGAAATTGTTGGATTTCTTGCTTTCTAGCTATTCCAAAAGCAGAGCTGAACCTTTCTTAGGACTGAAGCTTTTATTTTTCAGTGCAGACTCAGGCAATAGATTGCAGATAGATAGATCTGTCAGTGAATCTGTGATTCTGTGAGCAGCTCAATCTGCCTGCCTGCTTTGCCTGATTTTGGGTAAAAGTTGCTCTTTTTTATAAAAAAAATCAATATTTACATAAATATTTACAATATTTACATACAAGCCACACCCAGCTAGTCACATGACCACCAAACCATGCCCAGTCAGCAAGCCATGCCCAGCCAGTCACATGATCACCAAGCCACACCCACAAATTAGGCCAGACCTACAGAACTCATTGTTAAGAAATTTGAATCCCACCCCTGGTTAATATGTTCATTCACGTATGGTAGCAATTTGATTCATTATAACAAATCAATTCCCATTGTCCTGAATGATGGGTCAGTGTTGCAGAAATCTCTTCTGAGCCCTTCCTAGCAGTACTGTCTGAAGGTCTTCAATGTTGGGTGGCTTTGACACAAGTATGGACTTCAGCAGATACTGAAGTCCACCTAACCTGGAATAATTTCAGCAAATGCTTAGTTTATTTTATTTATTTATTTATTTATTTTATTTGCCAATTGTTTACAAGATAATAAGTATAAGTGTATACATAGTTGTGAATACATGAAATGGGTACATATAAGAAAAATAAAAGAATAAGAGAAACAATAGGACAGGGACGGTAGGCACGTTGGTGCGCTTATGCACGCCCCCTACAGACCTCTTAGGAAAGGGGTGAGGTCAATAGTAGACAGTCTAAGGTTAAAGTTTTTGGGGTTTGGGGAAGAGACTACAGAGTCGGGTAGAGTATTCCAGACATTGACCACTCTATTGCTGAAGTCGTATTTCCTGCAATCAAGTTTGGTGCGGTTTACTTTGAGTTTGTATCTATTGTGTGCTCTTGTTAGTTGTTGTTGTTGTTGTTAGTTGTGAGGTTGTATCCAACTCATTGCAACCCCAAGGACCAGTGGTCAACAACTGGTGGGTCACAGCCCACTGGTGGGTTGTGGCCCACTGGTAGGCCGTGAGAAAATTTTGGTGGGCTGCAGAGAAATGTCACCCCCAGAGAACACCCCCCCCCAAGCAATTAATCCAGGCTGTGCAGAAACACAAGATTGCACCACCCACATGGCCCGGGAACCCTCCTCACTCACTCACTCCTTACCCGGCAAACTTGCCTGCTAAACTGCTATTTTTCCGACCATCAGCTGTGAGATTTAGATTAGCTAGGAAGCAGGAAATTGTTGGATTTCTTGCTTTCTAACTAGTTTTTAGATCTTTGGCTCTGCTTTTAAGCACAGCTGAATCTCCCTTAGGACTGAAGTTTCTATTATTCAGTGCAGACTCATGGCAAGAAAATTTTATGTGACAGACTGAGTTAGCCAATGGCAAATAGATAGATCACTGAATGATTCTGTGAGCAATTCAATCTGCCTGCCTGCTTTGCCTGATTTTGGTAAAAGTTGCTTTTTTTAATAAAAAAAAATCAATATTTACGTACATGGTGTGTTGTGAGTTAATTTTATGAGTTTGCTTGCAAGCAAATTTTATGTGTTAAATATTTTCACAGCCCTCTTTTTTAGTTGTGCAGTATACAAGTCCTTGATGGAAGGCAGGTTGGTAATAATTGTTTTTTCTGCAGTCCTAATTACTCTCTGAAGTCTGTGTCTGTCTTGTTGGGTTGCAGAACCAAACCAGACAGTTATAGAGTTGTAAATGACAGACTCAATAATTCCTCTGTAGAACTGTATCAGCAGTTCCTTGGGCAGTTTGAGCTTTCCGAGTTGGCACAGAAAGAACATTCTTTGTTGTGCTTTTTTGATGATGTTTTTGATGTTAGGGTTTTGATGATAAAATTGATAGGGAATAGCTAAAGTGAAGGACCTGAAGAAACATGGGAGCTTCGTTTCAATACTGCAATGTTATCACAAAGCAGTTTCTTAGACCCCTAAGAATCCTGAAAGCAGTGTGTCTAGTGCTGGTCACAATAATTTGCAAAGTTCAAAGAATAGTGACTTGGGTCTTGGAGTTTAAATCTTATGATGTTAAATGAACTGACTGCATCTTGCCTATAGAAGAGAAAGCTAATGGAAGACATGAGAAAAGAGTTGCAGGAGTTTACAGGCTGTCACTCTGAAGAGAATGTAGGCACTTTCCATATCACTTACGGGAAGCACAAGAACTTTACCAATAGATACATTTAAATTGTAATCCCTATGTCTTAATATCTCCCATATAAAGTCTTCAACTATTGGCCTTTGTTAGAATCCAGCTCCAGAAGACATGCTAAGGCGTAACATTGCTTTTGAATCAAGTTTTTTGGATTGCAGGTATCAACAATGATGTCAGGATGTTCAGAGATGTCCCAGTTTTGTCTCTCCCATGGAAGCCCATAATTAAGAATTATGCAGTGTGTCATGGTTAAGTGATAGTTATACTTAAAACTGACTGACAGAAATCAGTGTGGTATTAAGTAATGCCACTTTCATTTTTATAGATATAAATTTCAGGAAATCTTGATCTAATCCACTTTTTGCTTACCCTTATTTTTTCTTTCTTTGTTTAAATTTAGCTTCACTGGTTTCTCCAAGGCCTTTCGTTCAATAATTCATTTGGAGAAACTGTGTCCATCAATCAACATGGAGAAGTGCTTTCTGGATTTGATATTACAAATGTGATCATGTTTCCAAACAACTCCTACCGCAAAGTGAAAATTGGAAAGCTGGATCCCAAAACACTTGCAGGAAATGAATTTGTCATTCATGAAGATTTAATTGTTTGGCACAAAGATTTTAAGCAGGTATGGATTTTGAGGTATTTTATTGTTTTGGATGGAAGATTGGGAGATCAGAGATGAGTTTAATTGTATAGCCTTTCATCTGCTTTAATCACTTAAAATTAACCATTCTGAACTTAAAGTATGACTATTCTTTCCTGCTCTGAGGGAATTATAATTGGTAAATAACAAGGATTTTGGAGGGGGAGGGAATGGGGAACATTACTATTACCCTGGACACAAGTAAACTATAAAATAATATTGAGGAATAAAAAGTTTGAGAATCAGTGAGATGACAAAAGATTCTGGCTTCATTGGGGTTGATAAAGCAAAACATCAGACTTCATTATATGAACAATAGTGTAAAAATGAGACCAGGATGAAAGTTTAATCCATAGAGCTGGAACTCAGAGATATGCTTAATGTGGTGATTTCTTTATTGGTGTTTTTTTTCTTGTACTAAGCTAAGTAATAAGTATCATATCACTTATTAATTAATTTAAATAATTTAAACCACATTTTCATTTCCTTCATTTGATCCTGAGAGGGGAAAAGAAGGAATAATTTGGATGTAACCATATGCAATATTTAGGAAGTATTGTAGAGATTTCCAAGTGTGGCATTTCATTTCATGATCTTAGGACCTCTATTACTCTATTTGTTCATGTAGATTAGAGGATGACTGTCCAGTATTATTCAAGTCTTCAGTGCTGACTTCCTGGTTTATCAACAGGTTTTGCCCCGTTCAGTGTGTAATGATCTCTGTCCTGCTGGCTATCAGAAGAAAAAGAAAGAAGGCAAGAAATTTTGCTGCTATGATTGTGATCCATGTTCTGCTGGGAAGATGTCAAATATGTCAGGTAAATTATTCTCAGGTTTACTCTTCTTTGCTCTACTCTACTCTACCTTATTCAACTTTACCTTTTTCCACTCTACCATACTCTACTCTTCTCTACTCTATCTACTCTACTCTACCTTATTCAACTTTACTTTATTACACTCTACCATATTCTACTCTACTCTACTCTGCCTTATTCAACTTTACCTTATTCCATTCTACTCCATCCTATCTCACTCTACCTTGTTCAACTGTATTGTGTGATATGTTAGAATTTTTCACTACTTAATTGACCAGATAGTAAATTAATTTTATTTAAATGTATACCCAATTTCTCTATTTCATTTATTCCAATCCACATGCTGAAAGACTTTACAAAGTATACACATACTGTAAAATTGGATAAAACTAGAGTGAAAAGCTTTAAAGTAATTCCTAAAATGGAGAAAAAAAATGTCCGATACAGGCACTGGATTGCCTCATGCTCATGAAACTTCTCTTATCTCAGGGATTCAGGACTTTGCTTGGGTTACAGAGGAGCTGGGAGAGATAAATTTGGGTAAGAGAGATCCAGAACATAGGACGCACTTTGCAAAGGATGAAGGATAGGATAATGCTTCTATTAAGGCCTATTTTGTGATGCTAAGGATGGGGAGGAACAAGTATGTCTTTGTTTCTAATGCATCCACAGAGGTTATAGTATGTCTCTTATTTACAGACACAATTGCCTGTTCTGAATGTCCAGAAGATCAATTTCCAAGTAAGGACAAAGTTCGATGCATCCACAAATCAATAATATTTCTAACTTTTGAAGAACCTTTAGGGATCAGCTTAGTTGTGATTACTGCTTTATTTTCAGTCATTACCATGTTAATACTTGGAATATTTATCAAGTATAAAGACACTCCTGTTGTTAAAGCTAACAACAAGGACCTCACCTACACTCTCCTAATCTCCCTTCTGCTTTGCTTCCTCTGCTCTTTTCTTTTCCTTGGAAAAGCTTCACAACTGATTTGCATCCTCAGACAAACTGTCTTTGGGGTTATTTTCTCAGTGGCCATTTCTTCAGTATTGGCCAAAACCATCATGGTCATTGCAGCATTCATGGCCACCAAACCAGGATCCAGCATGAGGAAATGGTTGGGGAAAAGACTGTCCATCTTAATTATTTTCTTTTGCTCCTTCATTCAAGCAGCCATTTGTCTGATCTGGATGATCACTTCTCCCCCCTTTCCAGAACTTAACATGAGATCCATGACTGAAGAGATTATAGCAGAATGTAATGAGGGGTCTGTTGTGATGTTTTACCTTGTCTTGGGCTATATGGGGTTTCTGTCTCTGGTCAGCTTCATGGTGGCTTTCCTGGCTAGGAACCTGCCAGGCACATTCAATGAAGCCAAGTTCATCACTTTTAGCATGTTGATGTTTTGCAGTGTTTGGTTGTCTTTTGTTCCAACATATTTGAGCACCAAAGGAAAGTATATGGTAGCTGTGGAGATCTTCTCCATCTTAACTTCTAGTGTTGGGTTATTGGCATGTATCTTTTTCCCCAAATGCTACATTATTTTGCTGAGGCCTGAGCTGAACAGCAAAGAACAACTTGTGAAGAAAAAGCATTTTTGATTATTAAATTATGGATTAGCAATAGCAATAGCACTTAGACTTATATACCATTTTACAGTTTCTCTAAGCAGTTTACAGAGTTAGCATATTGCCCCCAGCAATCTGGGTCCTCATTTTACTGACCTTGGAAAGATGAAAGGCCAAGTCTACTTGAGCCTGGTGAGATTTGAACTGCCAAATTGCACTCAGCCAGCAGTCAGCAGGAGTAGCCTGCAGTACTTCATTCTAACCACCGTGCCACCATGGATTGATGTATTTCTGCTCTGAAACTGAATAAGTAATCCTCTTCTATGAATAAAATGGGACATGTTTATTGGTTCTGCCAATTTTTTTGATATTGTATATCCTTGGCATATATAACAGTATATCAAATTCTTATGAATGGATATGGAAAATAAAATCTTTCATTGTTTCATGAGTGATTTTGCTTTTAATGAAATATTTTATTTTAGTTCTGATTATTTACAGGATGTATTTACTGAAAAGAATAATTAGGTCTTCTTTAAAAGAGATCTGCTGTTTGTTAATGGTTAGCCATGATCAAACTTCTGAGTAATGTTGTTTGGACTTATTTAAAATCAAGCAACAAAGGGAAATAATCCTAGATTCTACTTGAAGTAATTGAGTTAAAAGGATATCAGAATCAATAAAGGAGTATATTTGTAGCTCAGGTGTGATATGTAAAATTGCATATTAAGGATTATGCCTGTGAAAATAAGAAAACATAAGTAACGTCATATTTATGCTATCAATGGCTTATGGCAATATTACTGGAATATTAAGTAATGATTATATAAATGTTTTATTAATCCCCAAAACAAGGTTGTTTTGCCCTTTGTAACATGTCGAATTTCTGGCAGGTCACCAACCTGGCAGTACACACTGTTTAATGTGTTATTATATGATAAAATTAAGAAATGCTGATGTTAATACCAGTATCCTAGAATAGATAATCTGCCAAACAGGGTATAGCATATGCCATAAGAGATCAAGTTTTCTGAAAATGAGATATATGAGTGGGTGGTGGTTACTGGAAAAGTACCCAGTAAGTGGGAAACAGGGTAAGGTGATGTTAACACAATCTTGTATGCAGAAGTGTATAAAAATCTCCAACATGTCTGGAGGGGAGGGGGTCTCCTATCTCTCTCCTTTGAGGGAGAAGGGGTCCTAGCCTTTGCAAATGCTAAATAAACAAGCTCTTTATCATTCCTGGTCTCCTGTCGCTTTTTTTATTATTATCACGTCACATTTGAAATGAGGGCTCCTTGATTCCCTCTGAACTTGGTTGTTGTCTTGGAGACATTGCTAGTGCACTGATGATGTTCCTTGGTTTGGGTAATGAAATGTCTGCAAGAATGAAAGAAAAAATCCAAGCTTTATTATTTCCTAAAATATTTCATTCTTCTAGGAGGGGTGGGTGTTAATTTTCTACAAAGGGAAAGTAGCATGAAAGTTAGCTCAAGTCCTTAGAGAAAAGCTGTGACAGGTTTTCAAGAGGAAAAAAAAACCAGATAGCTAAGAGAATGGTCCACCAGGATATGCAAATATTGCCCATGGACTGATCTTGTACATCATATCAATATTTGTATAAAAGAATAAGGAATCCCTAGAGTATATGATTCCTTTATATGCTACCTCCATGAAAAGCTAAAAAAAACAGTTGTCTCCAAAGATGTAACATATAGAATAGAATAGAATAGAATAGAATAGAATAGAATAGAATAGAATAGAATAGAATAGAATACTTTATTGGCCAAGTGTGATTGGACACACAAGGAATTTGTCTTGGTGTAAATACTCTCAGTATACATAAAGAAAAGGTACATTCATTAAGAATCAAGAATCATAATGTACAACACTTAATGATAGTCATAGGGTACAATCAACAATCAAATCATACTAGGAAACAGTCAATATAAATCATAAAGATACAAGCAACAAAGTTACAGTCCTACAATCACAGTGGGAGGGGATGGGTGATAAGGAGTGATGAGAAGATTAACAGTAATAGTAGTGTACACTTTGTAAATAGTTGAACAGTGTTGAGGGAATTATTTGTTTAGCAGGGTGATGGCTTTCTGGGAAAAAACTGTTCTTGTGTCTAGTTGTTCTGGGGTGCAGTGCTCTATAGTATCGTTTTGAGGGAAGGAGTTGAAACAGTTTGTGTCCAGGATGTGAGGGGTCTGTAGATATTTTCACAGCCTTCTTTTTGACTCGTGCAGTATACAGGTCCTCAGTTGAAGGCAGGTTGGTAGTAATTGTTTTTTCTGCAGTCCTAATTATCCTCTGAAGTCTGGGTCTTTCCTGTTGGGTTGCAGAACCAAACCAGACAGTTATAGAGGTGCAGATGATAGACTCAATAATTCCTCTGTAGAGTTGTATCAGCAGCTCCTTGGGCAGTTTGAGCTTTTGGAGTTGGCGCAGAAAGAACATTCTTTGTTGTGCTTTTTTGATGACGTTTTTGATGTTAGGTGTCCATTTTAGGTCATGTGATATAGTAGAACCTAGAAATTTGAAGGTCTCTACTGTTGATACTGTGTTGTCTAGTATTGTAAGATGTAGTAGTATGGGAGGGTTTCTTCTGAAGTCTACCACCATTTCTACGGTCTTGAGTGTGTTCAGTTCCAGATTGTTCCGGTTACACCACAAGGCAAGTTGTTTAACCTCCTGTCTGTATGCAAATTCATCGTTGTCTCAAATGAGACTAATCACTGTTGTGTCATCAGCAAACTTCAGTATTTTAACAGATGGATCGTTTGAGATGCAGTCATTGGTATATAGGGAGAAGAGAACATAGTGTGGTGAATTAATAGCTCTTCAAACCCAGGAGGTGACATTAGGCAGAGGTGACTGTTTATTGGCAATTAAGCTAAATGAGTCTCATTGGTGCTTCATGCAACTGCTCCAACAGCTGTCAAAAAAATATTGAGAAATAATTTATAAGTCAATGTGGATGAGGTTATAAAACTTTCCACTTCTGTGGTTGGTGAAACAGAAGCAGGTAGGATATTGCCTCTTTGAATTCCAATGATTTCCATTGACTGGAATGTGCTTGTTCATTGGGGTATGCTTTGCTAAACTTCTTGGTGTCAGTCAGGGGAATGAGTGAAATAATATAGTTACTTGTATGTATTCCCAGATTTTGTAACTGATGGAAAATAGTCCTACCATATGCAGTGTTGGGATTGTGAATGGGTACAAAGAACCTCCTCTAAAAAAAATGTTGAGGGTATTGTTCCTACTATGGTTGCTGGTTGACCTGAAAAGTCAGACTGATGCAACGTCTTGCCCCAGAAGTGATCCCTCTCCTATTCTTCATGAATGGTATAAGCCAGGAAACCTCCTCATTGGTGGGATCACAGCTCAGATTGTATATGTACTGGAAGAACTTTCCTTCAATGAGCATCCTTCACAGAAATCATCTATGCCACCACTGTAAGAAATTCTCTTTTCCTTTTTTTTCTCCATATGTGATTTGAAACTGCAAGATATTCAGTTTCAGAAGGCTCAGAAACTCAATCCTATTTTTGGTAAATTAAGCACAGAATATTGACACCAATATTTTACCAACTCTATTTGTAATCAGAGTTACTGGAGCATAGATAGCATTTTCAGCCTCAAAGAGTCTTGACATTTCAAGAATCCCCAATTTTATTATTGCATATGTTTTTGTGGATCAAGATGGCTGATCTATAAAATCTCATACAATAAAACAGTAGTTTACAAGGATTTCTGTTGATAAATGCAATCCTATTGTTTAGATCTCTTTTGTGTGGCACTGGGATGTGATAGTGATTTCCTATCCGCTGAATCAACCCTTGCATAAAATTACCAAAAACCTTCTATGCAGATGTTTTGAGATTGCCATGGGAACAAAATGAGTTGCAGTGCCAATCCTTCAAAGACATACCTGGTAGGAGAAAGCAATACATTAAAAACCAATCAATTATACAGCTTCCTTAGCATTTTTAGGGAAGTAGTCTATTTTAAGATATCTTGATGGAAATCAATTTTAGAATAAAATCATGGAATGAATTTATTGCAAATCTGCCTTGAGGCTATTGGGATCTGAAAGTTTCTCCTTAAGTAGAAGGAACTCTGGGAGGCATGGCCAATCTAAAGTAAGTGGGTTTGTTTGACTTGTCACAGATATTCACTAAAAGTATTAGCAGATGTGAGATCTGTGTAATTAGATTTAAAATCAGCAAGAACAGCAAATCAATATAATGAATGTTATAAGAGGAGAAGTGGGAACAAGAAGCAAGACTTAGTAGGAGCAAATAATGCACTGTAAGAGTGAACTCAAAGAATTCAATCAGTCTTTACCTGAATCTTGCATTAATCATCATCATCATCATCAACTTCCTGTTTTCCATCTCTACAATTAAACTGCATATCATTGTTTCTGGCAAGCTAGTTCAGTTGTTGAGTTTCATGATTTAACAAATGTTCCTCATTGGTCTTTATATCTGATGCTCATCACAATGCGAAGGTTTCATAGTGTGGTTATTGTTGCTTCACACAATGCATTTGTCTTGCCTCAATCCTCAGTATTTCACTTAGCCCTCAATTATGTTTCCAGGGCTGTTTTAAAATTTTATCAGCATTCTCTGAGTTTAGCATTTGCTGTGAAACAGATCAACTCAAATCCAAAACTCTTATCAAATGTTACCCTGGGATTTTTCATCTGCGACAACTATTTTGATGCCCGGCTGACTTACCGTTCCACTTTGGAATTGCTATTCCGATCAGATCAGTTGTTTGCCAACTACAAATGTGACATCAAGGAGAATCTCATTGTGGCCATTATTGGAGGATTTGGTGCTGATATCTCATTCTTCATGTCTAATATCTTAAGCCTTTATAAAATCTCACAGGTAAGATGTAAGTATTGATATGTATGAAAACCTGTCCATATGGCAAAATTGAAGGGAACAGGGGCAATTATCATCCCCTCTAGTGAGGGGATAGAGCAGAAATCAAGAATAACAGAATTGAAAGGGATTTTGGAAGTCTAGTTTATATAGGAGACCCTATATAATTCCAGACAAATGGCTAATATCTTCTTAAAAACTTCCCATGTTGGAGCATTCACAACTTCTGGAGGCAACCTGTCCCACTGGTTAGTTATTCTTACTGTCAGTTTTCTCTTTAGTTCTAGATTGCTTGGAACAACTTGCCTCCAAAAGTGGTGAATGCTCCAACTGCAGAAGTTTTTAAGAAGAGATTGGACAACCATTTGTCTGAAATGCTATAGGGTTTCCTGTCTGAGCAGTAGGTTTCACTAGGAGACCCCCAAAGTCCCTTCCAACTCTGTTATTCTGTTCTGCTTCTCTCCTTGATTAGTTTCCATCCACTGCTTTTTGTCCTGCCTTTAGGTGCTTTGGAGAATAGGTTGAACCACTCTTATTTGTGGCAGCCCCTTAGATATTATAACATTGTTATATGTCACCCCTAGCCTTTCTTTTCATTAAGCTAGACACATTCCTATCCATCTGTGAAAACGGGACTACAATATGTTTTCTTCATAACCTGTTTCCCCAAAATCAATCTGAATGATTAGGGTGCTTGATGTTTTAAATGGACTCAAATAAACATTAGATTCAACTTCAGAGATATATCAAAAGGGGCTAATCCAAACTGGGAATTAGAATTACATCTATCTACTGAATAACATTGCAGAATGTAAATTCATAATGTAAGCTAGAGTATGTTCATCACAGAAATTTGTCTTTTCTCAGCCAAACTTTTGGGGTTGCTTATATTAATTGAACAAAGAGGTAAATAAGGCAATATTCCATTTATTTAACATTTAGTGCATAGTAATCACAATGATCAGAGCTTTATTTAGATTTGAAAATGGAAGCCCGCAGAAGAAAAGAGCTTGAAAAATATATATGTATGCATTGTATATAAGAAAATATATTTCTCAAGTTAGTAGAGACATTCTAGTTATAATCAACTAACTGCACATTTTATTATAGCTCGCTTATGGCTCATTTGCTCCCAAGAAACATGGAACAAAGATGTCTACTTCCTTTTACCGCATGGCTCCCAATGAATCCCTTCAGATTGCAGGGATTATTCATTTGCTGAAGCACTTTGGATGGACATGGATTGGCCTTTTAATTCTGGATGATGACAGTGGAGACAATTTTCTCCAAGCCCTGGACCCACTTCTTTCTGAGAACAGGATCTGCTATGCTTTTGTGGAGAGGTTTCCCAAGCAATCATTTTTTTCTATGTTTCAAGGTGAGATAGTGCAGTCTATACATATTTATTTGAATGACCTCAAAGTCAACACATTCATTTTCAATGGGGAAAGCATCACAGCAATGCTTCTGTTTCTGTTTATGAGATTTATCGAGAACAGCCGTGGAAAAATGTGGATTTTGACTGCTCAAATGGATTTAACTTTAACCAGTCTCCATCGGCTCTCAGATTTGCAAATGTTTGATGGAGCGATTTCCTTTGCTATTCACTCCAATGAACTGCCAGGGTTCGACGCATTCCTTTGGGCCTTCAAACCATTACAGATGAAACAAGCTAGGCTGTTCAAAGAATTCTGGGAACAGAGCTTCGATTGTATTTTTTCAGAGAACAATCAACCAGTGGAAAGTGGTGAAGCATGCACTGGGAGGGAAGAGCCCAAAAACCTTCCTGGGTATTTATTTGAAATGACTGGCCACAGCTACAGTATCTATAATGCAGTCTATGCGGTGGCACATGCTGTTCATGGCATGAACTTACATAAGTTTAAATACAAAAGAGTAACAGAAAGTAGAATGGATGAACTTCAAGATCAAGACACCTGGAAGGTAATAACTTCTGGTGAAAACACCTTTGTGGTCAGGCACAGATTCCATGTAAAGCTCTTCAGAGTTTCTTCTTGTGTATCAAATTGGTAAGGAGAGAATGATGTATCGTGTCCCATTTTAGTCTCTCTTGTGGAAGCTGATAGTTCTGACATGTGCAACTTGTCATGGTTTAATGGTGGGATTAGGGATAAGGTTGGCTGAAAGTCTTCAGTGTTGGGTGGCTTTGACACAGGTGTTGGGATCTATCTTTTAACACACCCTCTCCAATTCTGGAATACCTTCAACATGTACCTAGTTGTCACCATGGGGTGTGTAGCAGGATGGATTCTTTGGCATAGGCTGAAGCCATCATGCTTGCTAACACTTTTGCAGGATGTGCCATCAGAGTGCAGTACTGCAGGCTACTTCTGCTGACCACCAGCTGCCTGCAATTTGGCAGTTCGAATTTCACCAGGCTCAGGGTTGACTCAGCTTTCCATCCTTCCGAGGTTGCTAAAATGAGGACCCAGATTATTTGGGGGCAATAGGCTGACTCTGTAAACCACTTAGAGAGGGCTGTAAAAGCACTGTGAAGCAGTTTTTAAGTCTAAGTGCTATTGCTATAAGACTGAGAGGAACTGTTAAAGGGAGCAATATGAAACAACCCAGGAGTTTCATTTCAACTTTGCAAGATCATTGCTTTACATAGCAGCTTTTAAGAGGCATTTTTGAACTGTGAAAGCAAGATGGCCCATGATCATCACTAAAAATATGAGAAGTATTCTGAGGCACTGGAACAAGTACAAAGAACAATGAGAAAACAATCATCATCTCTTTTTAACAACCCCATAATCCCTTGTGGTGTGAAGTCTGGGCAACTGAACAGAACTGAGTGTTTAGTGTTTACTGGCCAGTACCCTTCCTGTCAATAATGCTGATATATTCAGCACATATATTCTCAACATGCCCAGAGAGAGAAATATCTGCCTCTACCTAGGATCGAACTCACAACTTCCTGATTGTGAGGCAAGAACTCCTCCTCCAGGCCACTGTACTCAAACAATGTGGGATTGAAAATTAATTTTTATGCAGTCAAATGAAAAAAATATGCTAAGCCATGGCATGGCTTATTTTTCTTTGGAACCTAGTTTTTCAGACTCTAGGTGTCCATTACAAGCCACCATGATGTCAATATGGAAACATGTGCCCCATTTTTGTCTGACTTGTTAAAGCCTATTATAGTCACTTGTGCATGTGTCATTATTTACTTATAGCTATCTTTAAAATTGAGTGACAGAAAAAATGGGATTTAAGTAATTCCACTTTCATTTCCTAGGGATAAATTCAAGGGAGTCCTGTTATAATCATCTGTAGAGATTCTCAGTCATTCAGGTCATGGTTGTCCCAAATATGCTTTTTCAGGAGGCAACTGGACTTCCTTGTTTGTTTTTTGTTTTTTTGAAAATGTTTCGCTTCTTATCCAAGAAGCTTCCAGGAACTAGGAGCACTACTCAGATGACGCTGAGGATACAGATAAATCTCCAAGTGCTTCAACAACTCTCTCTATAAAAAAAGGATGCAAATGACCAGCTGTCTGCAAGGATTATAAATTTTATATATATATATATATATATATATATATATATATATATATATGTTTTCTTAAGTTTTCGCGGGTACTTACATGTATGGTGTTCGGCTTGGTTCGGGTATTTTCCCACGTCATTGTAGTTCTTTTAAAGTTGTAGCAACGTTTCAGCAGAATCTCATCTGCCATCATCAGGCTTCTGTATTGTGTCCGTCTGTGAGTCAGACTTTTACAGTAGTTTCAGATTTGAATTTGGGGCAGCCTATTGCTGTGCCAGAATGGTTTTTTCTTCATCCTGATTGGTTGGGAGTCTTGGTCTGTGTTTATTGGTCTCGGAGTTTGCTGTGTTCTGCTTGATTGGTGTCTCTAATATCTTCTGTCTGTTTTTTGGCTCTTTTTGTATCTTGATTGGCTGGCAGCATTGTGTTACTTTATTGGAGGCCTTTAGTGCAGCTTGGCTTCGGGTAAATGGA